TCAGGATTGAAACGAAATGGTTTAGTTGCTGCCCTCATAATATTAATTAATTACTAATAGTAATAACTATTATATGCTACGAGGCGTGGAATATTCGTATCGAGCACGGACACCTGTTTCTGTATGCGCTAATTCGTCGATCAGTTGTTGCGCATGCGTTGTTCATGGTTGCATGCCGCAGGCGCCACGAGCAGAGTGCCGGAGGTTATAGGAAGTGTGAAGGGGGGTGGGGTCAGGGGGTCTCCCCCAGAAAATTTTGAAATCTAGACGCTCTAAAAATGTTTAAATTTGCTATTGAGTGTTTTGTTACGGACAAGCCCTTCGGCTGTGTACGCCCTGCTACAATTGCGTATGTGTGTTATACACCATAGACTAGTGTTTAATGTACTATTGACTCGAGTATATAAGAGATCCGAGACCGGTTATTAGTTAGTGTAGGCGTTAGGGGTTTGTGGGTTCGTGCGTTGGGGGTTAGAGGAGTAGGGCGACTCCCTAGGACTAGATTATTTACCATTTATGTAATAACAACATATGAAAACGCCGCATGCGGCAACAAATTGCTCGACGGAATAGCGCATGATGAAAACAAGGTGTCCGTGCTCGGACGAAATAATCAGTCCTTTACTATTTAGGGCCTTACTAATAAATCAAGGTCCAAGGATTTTACAGTAGTGGCAGCAGCGCCGGCGGCAGTGCCAGTCCTGCTTTTTGTGAAACTTATGGCGAGCATAGACAATACTCAATAGTATAGATGAACATAAGAGTGTGTAAGCTTAATACTGATGTTGTCGTACTGACACTCAGATTCTCACCTAAAACTATCCGAAGGTGTTTTAATCGAGTGACCGTATCTTTCTTTGGGTCAAGCAGCTTCTGTGTCGATTTCTTGACATCGCCGTGTTGTTTCTTCGCAAACATGGCTATATTTCCAGTGTATTAAATAAGGCTTTATCACAAATTAACCAGTGGTACATATACTGCCAATACATGGAGGAGGATGATACTGTGCTTATGCCTTGAGAAACAGATGAACTTTTCAACAACCAAAATGGCAGTCTGTATATAGGTTGTTTGAAATTCTGGGGCCAGAACATTGACAATTTTAAGTATTGGACTGCTTGCGTATCTATAAAGACTTCTTGATATATTTGTTTGTCAAATTAACTATATGAATTGTGTATTATCTCGTTCAATTTATGGAATGCACACGAACGTCGTAATTGTGATAACTTTAGCATCATAGATAAATGTATATTAAGTATATTATTCTTTCGTCTCTGGTTTTCCAACTACCCCAGCGGTGACCACTTCCAAAAGCGGGTGGGAACGAAAGGGCATAATGTATATGTTCGAACCATACATAAATAAAACATCAGAAAATTTATTATATGAAGTATTATATTTCTCATATCTCATTCATTTGAGGAAATATCTATGGTGCTAAAATGAAGAGCTGGGTTAACTTCCCGGTTAAGCACTTGTACGAAAACACACACCCCTTCCTAAAAGTGGTTTTATCATCGCATCACGCCACTGTGATTTCCGTTTCCGGGTGACGAAGTTGTTTGAGTTTGGCAACGTTTGTTGGAGTTATTGGAGTTCTCAGTTATAATATAGCGAGGGTGTCAATTATCATGGACCGACTACTATTAATTTCAGTTGCTTTATTCGCAGGAACGTTCGCTCTATGCATCGCAAGCCCTGTCAAGTACAAGGATTGCGGTAAGACTAATTCTCTCTCTCTCTCTCTCTCTCTCTCTCTCTCTCTCTCTCTCTCTCTCTCTCTCTCTCTCTCTCTCTCTCTCTCTCTTGCTCTCCAACTCTCTTCATCCCCCCTCTCTCCGTTTGTCTGCCTTTTTCTCCATTCCCTACTGAAATGTCACCGGGTCTTAAATCTTACCTCAAATATATACAAGACAGACTCCAGTTCTTCCCTGTGTGCTTTATGAGCTGAAAGAAAGAGCAGTGCATGAGCTACCTGTGATAGGATTACATTTATTCACAGTTACAACCATCACAGGCACTGACATGTTAATGAGATACGACAGAAAATAATGTTGAGATATCTAGGACAGGTAATAGTTCATTACCTAATTACCAAAAACACTAATTTATTAGTTATATATAACACAGGTAGTAATGTGTGAGTTAACTATAACAGGTATCAAATATGTTCTAACTATAGCAGCAAAATTTATAGGAGATAATTATGACCAGTAAAATTGCATTAGCTAATTATATGACAGGTAGTAATGCATGAGTGAATGATGATAGGTAATGACAATGTATTAGCTCACTATGTGTCACAGGCAAAAAAGTATAGACAGCGAACAATGTCATATAAAAGCACAAAACTTAACAAACAATACATCTACAACTACAGGTTACGGCATATTAGCTAAGTAAAACAGGTAACATTACATCGTCTAAACATTCAAGCTAACATATATATATGTAGTTATGGCAGAGGCGATAATCAGCAAAACCTCCATTATAACAGAAGTTTCATTCATTCAGTATGTCTCAATGAAAATGCAAAAATTTCACAATTACTTGTCCATGTCTTAACCATACTCCTACATGATTTGTCAATTGTAACTTAATCAAATGTATATTAGGAATTGCAGTGTAAACTACCGGTACACTAGTTTTTATACTTCTTGTCACTGTGGAGATAAAGCTTGGATGTACAACATGGTTTGGATGGCTTTACCAGCCAAGGTACCAGGAAGAGAAAAATTGTGTGAACCAAACCAGGGATATTGGTAATTACTTTAGCTAGTCGTATAGGCTTCTTTAATCATGATTCTATGTTTCTTTACTAAATACTAGCTCCGTAAAAAACCGAAGAACTATGCCGTGCCTTCAACGCTATATCTCTACAATAAGAGTGGATATGAGGTCAGGAAAAAGAGCATCTAGACTGTTAACATTTGACTTTGACATGGCTCAAATAGGACAGAGAATAGATGTATTTTGTTAAAGGTACCACAATTTTAAGTAAGTGCTATACCTAGCAGTTACTATTTACAGTGGTTACTATTACAACAAATGGCATGAAGTTACTATTCAGTATTCATACATCTTCAACTGTGAATTTCTTGTTTACATTGAGCAATACTCTTTGGTGATAGGGAAAATCATTGTATTCAATAATCTTGCTGGTTATAGCATTTAAGAAATGTAGGCCACAATTAAAATAGTTTGCGCGACATAATCTAATGGACAAAGAAAACCATGACAACTGTTAATATTGTATGACCCAATTTTGTTTACCGTTATTGGGGAGATGTATGTCGGCAGTAAAGGAGATTTATTCTGTCAACCTATCTGTTTCTTAAACAACAAGTAAATTTAGTTATAAAACACTAAATTGAATGAAGAAATTATGTGTTATGGGTAATGCATTAGCAAACTATAACAGATGATGGTATCACTTTGAATACCAGAAGCATATTCAAACCTTAATTAAAACGTAATACAGTACACTACCATGTAGACAAAGAACTGTACTTCTTTACATTTACTTGTGTCTCGTCATGCACAGTCATATCGTCACCTTCATGTACCTCAAATGTTTACAAGCAAATTCATCTCCAAGGTGATGCATCACTAAGACAGTAAAGTTTGAAGGGTCAACTTGATCTTTTTATAATTAAGCTATTTTGAATATGTCTGATATAGATCTAGATCCAAATAGGACTGTTGATTAAGTTAGCTATACCCTCCTTGTTTTATTTAAATTTTATGTTTCTGTTTGGCCCAGTGCATCTGTTTCTCTCCATCACTGGTTTACATACTCCAATGATGAATTGTTTGTGAATGAAATCTCCCAGATGATAGACTGCACTAGAGGGAGAACATATTTGGGAAGAATTCTTCCAGTAATGAATCATCGAGGGGATGAATGCTCCTAGAAGCATCTCAAATACGTGCAACTTGAAACCTACACAACACTGTAACATCTCCAATAAGACAGATCTAGACCAAACACGTATATATATATATACAAGCACGACATCTAACGTTAGTAAACGACATAATACGTGAATACAGTACCTACGTGCCAGACCCACAGTTCTGAGTAATGCAAAAGAAATACACATTCTGGTTATTTTTAAAAGCACACCGAGTAGATGAAGCTAGTACATAGCAACTCACACCTGCACTCACAAATGACTCGGTGCGTGCACACGCACGAAGACACACACGCACACACGCACACACGCACACACGCACACACGCACACACGCACACACGCATTCATGCATACAGGCATTCACACACTCTCACGCACGTATAGATTATAAGCACACACATACATGCATGTGAGCACTCACAGACTCAAATGCAAGCCAGCCCTACGTATCAACCCACTCACACAAAGAAGAGTAGCCAAACTGCTTAGTTACAACTACAGCTACGAAGAATAACACTGCTACCAAATTTGCCTTTATGTGTATATCTATATATACCTGTACGATTATACCTGTATATCACTGAACGTTTTAAACAATGGCTATCACGGCCCTCAGTATAGTCTCAGCACTATCTCCATATTTCACACTTACCCCTCTGTCTTAGACTTGCCTCCACTTGAATGAAGACATCATAGAAGATGAAGTATATGCAGTGGTAGTTGGCTTCGCAGAACTTCTTGACTTCTGCCGTATCCTGGCATTCAGCTATGAAACACCAATATGTGTATATATATATATATATATATCCATTTCTGCACAGTGACATATCTCCAAACTCAACTCTGTATAGATGTCTACTACCTAACTCACTTCTGTATACAACTTACAAGTATAGTATTATACTATTTACCCCACCTACATATGAACCAGCATAGCTGGATTAGGTAATCAGTGCATGGTTATATACAACAGGTCCAGGGTCCAAAATTAATGCGAGTCCGGAGTCAAATACTCCCTGATTTACTGTGGGACTCCCTGATTTGACATATATGCAGGAGTCCGTGTGACTCCCTGAAAATTCTGCTATACTAACTAGTTCGTTCCAGAGCATAGCCTCGCGGAATTACCGTATTTTTTCAGCACATCTCCAAAGAAAATTTGGCAGACTTGCAACCGCAATCTGCAGCATGCGCTGTAAGCAGTAAGCACATGTATGCTTATTGCTAATAACACAGCATTATTGTTTTTCAAATATCATTAGTTTTGAACTTCAGACTGTGGACTCCCTCCTTTTGCTGAGGACTCCCTCGTTTTGTTTTTTTCCCTCGCTCTGGACTCGGGCAGGGAGTCCATTGGACTCCCTTGTTCAAAACTTAAAGGAATAATAGGTCCATTGATTATGCAATGTTGACGAATGCTATAGTATCTGGCACCTTGTGTAGTTAATAAGTACATTACCTAGCCAAACGCATATTAGTTTGTCCAATATCACTGCTGGTTACTAAGAAATGTCCAATTGAAATCCGCAGTCCAAAAATCAGTTGTTTACAGTTTCAACCCGCTGCCGGCGAAGCGGGTGTGATATCATACAGATTTATAGTGCACCGGACATTTTCGCAAGCATGCTCGGCCGTACGCAATGCTATCATCAGTGATTTCGTAAACATGGACGCTCGTGATAAGGAACTTTTTGTCAGGGATGTCCACGTGCGTTCGTGATTAGTATGTGTGTTTTACTCTATTTCCATGTTTAGTCAGTGGCCGTGGTTACAGTTACACCGCTGACACCTCCGTTACATTTGGCGTCCAAAACATACGGGCCACACAAATGTTTACGTCATCGCTTGACTCCTGGATGACATTTACGGCACGTAAATGATACGTTGATACATATCAACAACCAATTTCAAGTCTTGTTTGTAATGTAACCAGCAGTAATATTGGACAAACTAATATGCGTTTGGCTATAAGGTAATGTATTTATTAACTACACAATGTGCCAGTTACTCTAGCAAGTAGCATTCGCCGACATTGCATAATCAATGGACCTATTATTCCTTTAATTTCTACCCCTGCAGGTCTATGACACCGCATATATATATAAATCAACTCACTACTTTGCCATTACCATCTTGACTAGCTGCAAGACTATGACTGAGCAGAATTTTATTGACTATAAACACTATAATATTTAAACTGAAATTCACTTAGTTGCGACATTTTTTTGCTCTGCCCACACTCTGATACAACAAGTTGCTGTTGCCATCAACAACTGATGTATACAAATTGGTGAAACAGGAGCAATCGTTTAGTTTCGTGGGTGTAGTATAGGTTTGGCCTTGACGAGTGTGTGTGCACTGTGTGTGTGTGGGGGGGGGGCTTAGGGGAAAGGGCTTAATTGAAAAATTAGCTGAGTTTTAACATTGGCTTTTTCATCATCTCTGTTTTCTGAATCTGCAATCAGATATGGTCACTCTAGGACGTACCTTTCAATTTTAGTACTTGGTCGCAATTATGCCAGATCGACCTTATTGCTATAATTGAGGGGGTGGTTACTCCAAGTGTTTTATGTCACACTAGTTTAGCGTTTCTTTTACGTCCACATTACAGAAGAAGGGCCTACGATTTCATGCAGTCATCCAAGTTAAAGTAACTATTGCGAGAGTTTTCCAGTGTTTTCACCACTTTCATGACACCTACCGTTATTGCTTGAGTAACAGCTATTGTCTAGAGTAACAATAAAATGTCTAAGAACCTTCGTATTCACCAAAAAAGTGCCAGTTTCGAACTACTAGTTTTTGTAAACAATCGTTTTCTGTCATTTTGAACTAGCTGGAAGTATGGATTAGCTTGTGGCGCCACCGCTTATCTGCCGTAGACATAGTACAGGCTCTCTCAAATCATGCACTTGTTTTCAAATTAATCCCCAACACAAATACAAGTTTACCAATTCCGCCTACGATAAAATTTATTGCTGTTAGAATGTGGTCAAATCCATTTTTCTATGCTATAACTCCATAAAATCTTAGTATTTTTAATGTTGGCGTAATCAGTGATATTTCCGCTGTCAGGTCAGACTATATTCAGCTATATTTAGTTTTTCTGAGTAAAAATCTCGCAATAGTCCGCTTAAGCCATGAAGGATTCAACGTCAACAATGAGAGATAGTAGTTTACTCAATGTGAAAATTCACTCCCCTGAGTGAGGTTTCAAACTCACGGGCTTAGTCCGTGTCTGTGACTACTGCCACCGTGGCTCTCATTCAGTAGGCATATTAACTGCTGGTTAGCCGATAACCTAGCAAGCTTCTCCGCTTACTTGTTTTAAATCAAGAGGACCAACATATACATACTCAAATTCATAACTGTTTAATGGTCAGGCCAAACAAAATGAAAGTGTCAATGACACTGTAGCTCACCACAAAAAAGGACACAAATGAGTGAGTGAGAAGAAGTCAGTTTTAATTGAGCAACCATCGACGTACATTATAGAAACGAAGAGTATATATATGGGAGAACTCCCATTATATACTCTTGATAATTATGTGTAATTTTTTATGTGAAAATAATA